ATGGTGTGGCCGTCCAGAAAGAGTTGGTAAAAGTCGTGCCAATCTATGGCCGCTATTATCATATGGTGGAAGTGGTATAACGAGACGCACACGTCCTTTGGGTTACGCACTATGTATATCATCTTGATAAATAATCTAATTATAATATTTATTACATCTCTCTCTCTCTCTCTCTCTCTCTCTCTTTTTTTTTACCTTTCCCTCTTTGCCTTCAAAACGTGGTAAATATTTGATCTCCAAATGATTAACAGTAATTCTGGGATCAGTCAACCCCTCAAACCAACTGTAATTGCAATCAACGTGAACCGCGAGCGTAATGTTGGGCACCCTTTCAGATATGGACCGATTAAACACTTTGTCGACCACTCCGTCGGCCATTATTAGGGACACGATCTCCGAGAGCCAAGTGTTGCCTGATTTCATGTAACCGCAGATCCATATGTCTGTCGGTCTAATAGTGGTGTCCTTTACTGTTTGGTGCCACTCAATAATACTAGGCTTATTTGGCAGTATATGACCATCGTGCTCAATATAATAATTGTTGACATTTATGGCCGCTATATATTTAGCCCGGCGTTCAATTTGCTCGCTTGACATTGGCTTTGAATTCATAATTTTTACACAACTTATGCTTTATATTAAATTAATTTTGTTATTAATTTATTAATTGTACAAAAAATTTATTATTATTCAACTTATAAATTGTTTAATTTAAATGGTATTGTGGCAGATAAATAAATAAATTTTTATAAAGCTGTAATAAATATTTTTGTAAAAAATATTAATTGCATTGTCATTTAAAATTGGTGCCATAACATGTGACCAAGGGTAATTAAAATTATTTGTTTTTATTCCTCCATGGACATTCATATTTATATTTATTTTTTGATACCATATAAATGTACTCTATTTATTTATTTTGAATATGCCAAATTATAATTAAATTATCACATTGCTTACAAACATGAATAATTAAAATGACTGAAACTAAACATATTCTTAATTAAATCATAT